ATTAAAACCAAATCTTTGACTGCTTTTGTTATTTTTAAAACGCATTCAAGCTGATACATAAAAACAATTAGAAAAATCGTCATTCTTATGAAAAAATAAAGTGGTGAAATGTTTCTGAACTTATCATCAACAAATTTGGTAATATTACACCTTCTTTGGAAATCAACATTTTTGGTAACACTTTATTTAAAGCCTCTATGTATAATGCATTATAAAGGGTTATTAAAGGGTATAATGCATTCATTATTCATAATGTGCGTTGTAATACATTATATCTTGTCGTAAATAATTATAACCAAGTTTAAGAAGCATAGTGTAAAAATGTATTATAATGTATTAACTGTGGTTACAATGAGATTGTACAATGCATTATAAGGTGCGTTACAAGGCATAAGTAACACAATAAAACTACATTTATAATGCATTATACATAAAGGCTTTAAGTCAAGTGTTACAGAATTTTTTTTCAAGATGCAGGGCTGTGTTATGCACAAATAAATAAATAAATGCATACACTGTTGCTCTTCCTCACAGGTTTTCGACGAGTTTTGCATATTATGGTCTGGCCATGGACCTGCAGAAGTTCGGGGTGAACATCTATCTGATGCAGATCATCTTCGGGGCGGTGGATTTTCCCGCTAAACTGGTCACTCTTCTGATGCTGAGCTTTCTGGGCCGACGCATAACCCAAGGCACATGTCTCCTTATGTCAGCGTCTGTAATATTTGCCAACATCTTTGTTCCTAAAGGTAAGACAGTGACGGTGTCTTTATTATGATGCCATCATCATCCACCTAATGCAACAGATTTTCTAAACTGTAACTAAATGACTCGACAACAACAACAAAAGCATTCTTTCCCAAGTAAGAAGATTTGGCAAAAGCACTGCTAAATGACAACACAAGCCTCCCTACAGTGTAAGACACATCTTAATGACTGATTCATACTGAAGCTGTGTGTCGTTGCAGATATGCAGATCACAAGGACAGCACTTGCTGTTCTCGGAAAGGGCTTCACATCAGCGTCTTTTACTTGTATCTACCTATTTACTGGAGAGCTTTACCCTACTGTCATCAGGTCAGAAGAAACAAACTATAGAAGAAGAAATTATAGAATCAGTCTGAAGCAGCCAATGGCGATAGTTTTGTTTCAATCATTAAGGCAACTATAATGTACAAAAGTATCTTGTTATTAGTATAGTATAGTGTCTTGTTGCATCATAATAACCATGATAAAAAGTACGCTTTCATTAATTCATAATGGTGGACAGGCACTATGATATACTTTACAGGGCATTTCCCAACGAATCTAACAAGATCAGACCCATAAAAATATATAAACAATAAAAAAAGACCCATAAAAATATATAAACAAAATATTTGGTTATAAAAAGAAAAGAATCAAACTTCCCTGTTTGCCTGAGGCTCTGGATTACAGGTAATGATGTGGTAAATAATGTTCGGTTTCTTGCACAGACTGATCATTTCGCTTCATAAGACCTCGATATATCGTCAGGAGCAACGGGGATTCATTTTGTGTTGCCTGATATGATTTCTTTGACTCTTACATTGACAGCAGCCACTGACTTGCATTTTATGAATCACCAAGGAGCACAGTTTCAGCTAAAAATCTTCTTTACTGTTCTACTGAAGAAAAAAGTCACCTACATCTTGGATGGCCTGAGTTAACAGCAATGAAGAGCAACTTTTCATTTTTGGGTGAACTATCCCTTTAATTTGCATGATATAGTTCACATTAGTGACATTTTAATAAAAAAAGAAAAAAAACGAAGCATGCCTAAAGTGTCATATAAAATCTATTAGGAGGAATTTATTAACAATGGACAGAACTTTTATGGCATTTATGCATGTAGGTGAATGCATGTAGAAATGATTGCAACATTTCAAGTTGTACAAGTTAAAATTAGTTCCCGTATTACGAACAAGCATAAAATAAAGGGCTAGTTCACCCTAAAAATCATCATTTACTCACCCTCATGTTGTTCTGATGCTGTATGAGTTTCGTTCTTCTGTTGAACACAAAGGAAGATATTCTGAAGAATGTTGAGAACCAAACAGTTGACGGTAGCCATTGACTTTCATGGTGGTCCTTTGGAACCAGAAACTATTCAATTACCAACATTCTTCAAAATATATTCTTTTGAAAAAATGTTCATATACTTTATGAATTCATTAACTAATGCCCATAAATAGAACCGTATTATAAAGTGGTACCAGAAATAAAACATAAACAGAGAGAGGCATGTTACATGGTACTAAATATGTAATGATAATACAAAAATCACAAGCCCAAGTGGGACCATGCATTAGAGATATTGTACTTTGCATTTCCAGAACAAGTAGGGAATAGCAATGCAAACTTTTACATGAACTTCACCTCATAGGATAATTGTTTTCATGCTTGTTCCACAGGCAGACCGGCATGGGCTTTGTCTCCACGATGGCCAGAATCGGATCCATGGCCGCTCCTGCAGTCCTGATCCTGGAGGAGATCCTGCCGGCTCTGCCTAGCATCGTATACGGAGGATCCGCTGTGCTCGCTGGTTTCATAGCCTTTTTGCTTCCAGAAACCCTCGACATTCCTCTGCCTGATACCATTGAGGATGTAGAGGAGAAAGGGTAAAGTCTCAAGAGCTGAATCACTGTGATTAGCTTTCAACTTCAGCATCGGATTCATTAAACATTGCACTATACATTTCAATCTTACAGGGAAAAGAAAAGCCGAAGTCTTAAAGAACAGACGCAGAGTGAGTCGCTGGCCTTACGGGACATCAAACAGAGTGAAGAGAACAAGTCCTCTGGGCTTCATCCACTGTCAGACACTCCAGTTCAATTAAAGTAATAATTATTACACCCCGAGACGAACATTAAAAGACTATTATTGATGCTTGCTGTCTCAATCTTATCAGCTGTTTGGACTCTCATTCTGACGGCACCCATTCACTGCAGAGCATCCATTGCTGAGACACTGATGCAATGCTACATTTCTCCAAACCTGATGAAGAAACAAACTCATCCTAATCTTGGATGAACTGAGGCGGAGTAAACGTTCAGCGAATTTTCATTTTTGGTTGAACTACTCCTTTAATCTCCAAGTGTATAAGTAGTCTATATGACACATGCAGTGTGAGAAGCAGACTGAAATTTAAATCACCGTTTGCCTGATAATCTTGAATTTTGTTCTTTCATGACTTTGTTGGAAAATCAGTAGGCGTGAAAATTTAATGCATGATTGCAGGGATTGATTTTGTTCAGATGTTTCAAGGTACAGCATTAGAAGTTCTTTGTTAGTATTTCATGCTATTACGATACTTTATTCACGATTATTTCGAATGTAATGAAGGTTCTGCAGTGACTTAATAATGTACAACTTAAATGTAGAATAATTTTTATTGTAATTTTTTCATTGTATCCGAAATGTAACAAAATGTTAACTTTTAACAAACTGTAACATTTTACAATAAGGTTCAGTTCATTAACATTAGCTAATGCATTAGGTATCATGAACCTATACAACAATTCTTTACAGCATTTAATATGTAGTTAAGTGTTATTTTACACCATTGTTCATTTATGAATTCATGCTCATTACAGTTTTTCTCAATTGCTTAAACACATTTGTCCACTCAGACATTACATTTTCTGAACAGTTAACACACAGCTCAATGGCCAAAATGACTCATTTTGTTTGCAAAATGCTCCAACACTCACAAAACATGCAACATAAGCAAATACTTCAATCAAACACCTCAACTTGTGGTCAAATTAATTTATTCTTTCAATCAATCATTACACAATGGACAACAAACACAGCTATCAATATGAAATTACACTGTTCAAACTCAGAAGAGTTGAATACATCCTTGCATGGCAAATCCATCAGCAGCCCTCTCTCTTTAGGTGAAAGTCTTTCATTTAATGCATCAAAAAATGTGATGAGGAATTCTGTATTGAACTGACAGTTTGCATGTGGAAAAGGACAGCATCATTGGAGATGGCAGCACACATGGTGATATTACTGGCACTGCAACAGTGGCCCTCTGCCCAATAAATGTTCCTCCCACGTCTCCTAATGTGGCCATTTTCATTTCTAGCTGTAAATTGTTTTGGTGTAAAATGATGATTTTCTACTGCTTAAGCTGAGGATGCAGCTCAAAATGCAGTGTTTTGAGCATTTGAGTTCACAGTAAACACTTTGGTGGGGAGTTTACCGCTTATGTGGAGTTTCTTGACTCTCTCTGAAATCTTTTAATGACTATTAGTTTACCATATTTTGATAAAACACCCTCTCTGGCTTAAATGAAATGAAGGCGCAAGTGCATGCAGCCTGTATCAGTCGATTTTACAGTATACTTCATATTCTCATAGGCAGTGTTAAAGAAATTGCTTATTAATGTTACTTTAAAATCCAGTCACAATATTTATTTATATATTGAAGATGAAGGAGTTCTGAAGTGATTTAATTAAGGCTCTGAATGTATTGAAAAGACAAAAGCTGCCTGGTGAATTGTGTGATCCTTTTTAGATGATGTTTTGTCACTAACACGTTTAAGAACCTCAATGACAAACATTGAGGAGCGAGTAAAGAAAATACAAAACGGACCGACAAAACCCCACTTTCGATGGATGAAGAATAGCAGAACATGCTAGTAAATCCACAAATCTAAGTGATGGCCTGCTCGTACCGTAACAACCATCTGAACAGACTGGTTATAATGAATGGAATGCTTTAAGAGATGGTACATCTTGAACAATATCTTGAAGAATGCTCAAGGTAGCCAAACAACGACAGTAGCCATTGACTTCCATAGTATTTTTTTTCCATACCATGGAAGTCAATGGCTACCGGCATCTGTTTGGTTACCCACTTTAATGTCACAATGTATTAACTGCCCATTTAATTATATTTATCATGCTAGCAATAGAATGTCCAGTGCTATATATATATATATATATATATATAATGAATGACAGACTGCATTCCAGAGTGTGTTATGCTTTATTGTTACACAGAATTACATGACAATTACATGCATTTGTATTAATGAATAAATGCGTTCAAACAGGAGTTGTGCATTTGATCATGTCACAGGATGCGTTTACTTCCAGGACAAAGCCTTAGATATGCAGGGAGCTTTGTCCCCATCAATGTTTGCAATATAATTGGCAACACTAAAAAGTCACGATAAAGGATCATGTAGTTTCTAGAAGCTCTGGTGTCACAATTGCATCTAATTCTGAAACACTCTGCCAAACAACTCGCGAAAAAATAGAGCATCTTTTAACATCCTTTCTCTACCACTGTATTCATGAAGAATGAGAAAAACAACACAACTCATTTACGGTTTATACATGTGCATCATACACATGCACCTGGAAGGATTCTTGAAGCTTTAATATTTGGGCCGTTTTACATTCACCCTGTATTAGACAAGAAACAGAAAATGACATGATCATGAACAAACACATTTCATTTCAAAATACACACACTATATTTAGATCCAATCATAGCCCAATTCCCATTATCTGCTCAAATCGAGTGTATTTTTGTTTTTTTGAGGTTATTTAAATTCACATTTTCAAAGTGACCCATATCAGATGTAATATTATTGCTGTCCAAATAAGAAATGTAAGTTTCAATGTAAGGTCAATCCCAAACCTGAGATAATAGCCAGAGCAATGGGTTGACTATAACAACAATCAAAAACACACAAGTTAGCGTGGATTCATCAGGTTGGTGGAAGCTATTTTTGAGCAAATCAATATCAGCCATCACAGATGTTGATTATTAATAAAGGCACTGATATGTTGATGCTCTTTAAGTGTGCTGTCTGTGGACCACAGGACTGTTGGGAGTCGAGACACAGTTCCCCGTTTAAGCGTGTTATTATTAACAACTGGGGCCACTCACATAAACTTAGCCTCTGAACTAAGACTAGTCTGACCAACTAGCAGTTACCAATGACTAATGAGTCACATTTTTCAGATTTCAATTAGACCAATCCACGTTTACGCAACAAACTTAAAAAAAAAAAAATTCAATTATGACCAATCTTAAAGAAAAAAATTAGATGACTAACTTGTAAGACTAGTCGAAGCGTTTTCTGCAACTGGTCACTGGTGACTAAATGCATTTTACTGAACTAAAGCAATCCAGACCATATGTGACCCTGGAGCACAAAACCAGTCTTAAGTGTCAATTTTTCAAAATTGAGATGTATACATCATCTGAAAGCTGAATAAATACGCTTTCCATTAATGTATGGTTTGTTAGGATAGGACAATATTTGGCTGAGATACAACTATTTGAAAATCTGGAATCCGAGGGTGCAAAAAAATCAAAATACTGAGAAAATCATCTTTAAAGTTGTTCAAATGAAGTTCTTAGCAATGCATATTACTAATCAAAAATTAAGTTTTGATATATTTACAGTAGGAAACTTACAAAATATCTTCATGGAACATGATCTTTACTTAATGTCCTAATGATTTTTGTCATAAAAGAAAAATCTATAATTTTGTCCCATACAATGTATTGTTGGCTATTGCTACAAATATACCCCAGCGATTTAACACTGCTTTTGTGCTCCAGGCTCACATATGTCAATAGTTTCCAAGATTAATTCTTGGAGAAAGAAAAAAAAATCAGGGTTCAAAGCTAGGGATTTTTGTTACAGGCCAGTGGGTCACATTTTTATATCCAATGCCAAGAGTTAAGAGCTAAATATGTTCACCCTGGTTCATTTATGCGCAAAATATTTAGCATAAACCATCTATAAAATTGCATCTTGGTAAGATGTGTCAACATTTGAACTGCCTTAAAGTGCGTGTTTTTTGTTGTTGTTTTTTTTGAATATCTAACATATAAGTTTCTTCTGTGCGCACAGAAAAACGCCTCAGACCGCAAGAGTACAAAATTAAGTTCTTTCACATCTTCTTGTGCTTGAATGGTGTAAAAATCACTCGTTTTAATTAGCAAAACTTAAGACATTTCCAAATGATAAACTTTTGTGACAACACACGACTGACCCGATTAAGGATTTTTAGGATATTTTTTAAAACTGAAGACTTTAAAACTTCTTCAGTGACTGAAGCAAAGAGAAACCACTGACACTCACCCATCTGCCTCCATCTTCTTTCTCTTCTCAATGATCTGAAATAAACAGAGACAGTGTGAACATGTTGCAGGACTAAATGAACACTATTATCATCACCAAACTTCTGTTTGCAGCTCACGTGGGTCATAGGGGTGCGATATTGACAAAAAAAATCTTTGTATTTATCTGAATTTTTTGATAATGATAATTAAATGATATTTTGCTGAGTGTGTTTTTGTGCCGATTTAGGCTCGTCATGAATAAATAAATATGACATTAAAACCACCAGTAGGTGGCGGCAAATCCCTGCCTTAATGTGTGATTCATTGAATCATTCAGTCAAACGATTCATTCAAAACACCTGATTCATGTAGAAACAAAGCAAGCAGCTGTCTTTATGAATGGATCATTGAATCAATGACTCAAATGACTCATTCAAAAGCAGATTCATTCAGGAATGAAACACCGCAGTGTTGCCATGAGATGCATAAATGTCCTGCTCCGGCTTCGTTTGGAACCGTTTTCATCGGCCAAACAGAAATACAACAAGATAGTATTGTGTCTAAAATGTAACACTTAAATTGATTGTTGAGCTGTTATATAAAATCAATACTATATTTGCGATAATGCTCATGCGCTAATATTTAGGAAAACGGCACTGATGCTTGTGCATTATTACTAAACTTTATCATATGTTATCATCACTCAGTCAATGCTTTTGAACTCGCAAGACAAGTTTTTGTTTGTTTTTTTGCAAAGCGAGTCAGCTCGCACATTGCTAAAACAACAATACCGATATTATCACACAGCTCTAGTTGGTCACTGCTTATTAAAGCAATAAGCCCCAAGAAGCCGTGGTTTACAGTGAATTTATAACATCTAAGGAGCACCAAGAAGCCGTGGTTTACAGTGAATTTATAACAGCTACGTGGGTTTTAGGCCCTCCGCTTCGCCCCTTAGCTGTTATAAATTCACTATAAACCACGGCTTCACAGGGCTTATTGCTTTTATAAAACGGTTATTCCATATACGTAGTAAGGTTTCACAAAATAAAACAGAGCAAATAAAGTGTAATGATATTAATAAAAACAGTATTCTTCCACCAAACAATGTAGTTCCTCAGAAACAGTTGTGGTTGCAACAAAGTGGTTGCCGAGCAACAGACAAACGTAAACAAAGGTGTATGTTACTTTGTAGAGTAATTTACAACAACTTTGAACGTGGCTCAGCCAATCAGAACCAAGGACCGGAACGCTCCGTTTTATAACCAGCGTTTTATTCCACTACATCTCAAATTCTTAAACACGACACAGAGTTGCAGAATAGAGCCTGTAAACTCACAGCGCTGATTTTCTTCCACTGTCGGTCTAGCTCAGCCTTCTCGTTGGTTTCTTTAAAGCGGCGAGTCTTTCGGCCCTCAGACATTTTGATGCCGTACTGGAAGGCAGCCCTACAAAAACACAATTATCATCATGATTAAAGTGAACACACAACCTCAAACCGATGCAAACTGGTGAAAAAACAGAGTCTGTGTTACTTGGGAAGCGCCTCCTTCTTGTTCATGTAGTCGCTGTACTCTTCTTGCGTGTCAAAGTCCCAGCGGCCCAAAGGACCCTTCTTATTACCCTAGAGACAGACACATGCGTGAACACGCCTGACCAGAGACACACGGAGACATTTCTCCATTACAACTCAAAATCACTCATGCCTGGTCCATCTTGCTGTAGTCCACCTCCTCATCACTGTCCACAGCCAGATCATCCATTCTACAACAGAGAAGCAAACACTCCCAAACTCAACATCATCAGCATCCTCAACTGTACGTGACAGAAGACGACGTAACTCACGTGGCAGGGTAGCACTCGGCGTAACTGTTTGACATCCCAAAGAAATCTCCAAGATGCTTCTTCTCTTCACGTCTGCTTCCAGTGCTCACGGTTAAAGAAACAAACGTAAAAAGCCATTGCATCATTTGGAATTGGAACGTGATGTTATTAATCTATACACTAGAGCTGCCCCCTTAACAGCCGACCACAATTTTGTTAGTTGGTTAAACACACAAAAAAAAAAAGGCTGGTACTTGGGCTAAATACAGTAGCTATATTGGGCAGGAAATCCAAACATCCATTGACCTCAAATATGGCTTATCATTTGAAATGTAAATATATAAGTAGTGGCAACTTTACACATCCGCTCACCCTAACATTAACCTAGATAAATGTGCGCTAAAATAAAGGTACTGGTGCGATACTGCATGACATGGAGACACCGACGCCATCACATGCATTTTTTCCTAATAACAGCGGAAACAACTTCAAATACACCACCATTTCTACTCAAACAGATGTGAGTAACACACCATTCGAAATTGTAAAGGGTCAACTTCTGTGTACACTCACAATCAGCGTTGGGGAAAGTTATTTTTAAAAGTAATGCATTCAAATTTTGCATTATTCCCCAAAAAGTAACAAATTGCATTACTTTTTCTGGAAATGAAGGCCTGGTTTCACAGACAAGGCTTAAACTAAACCAGGATTAGGCCATAGTTCAATTAGGACATTCAAGTAATTTTTATAAACTTGCTTTAGAAGAAAAAAAACATTACTGGTGTGCATCTTGAGACAAAACAAAGGCATTGATATATTTTAAGATCAATCAGTGCAAGGTGTTTTCAGTTGAAACAGCTCAGACTTACATTTTAGTCTGGGACTAGGCTTAAGCCTTGTCTGTGAAACTGGAGGTAAATGTGTTACATTACTTTTGTGCACAAAACTTTGTGCTTTTGTAAAATAAAGAAAACAAACAGGATGCACTCCCAGCCATGAACTGGAGCGCATCACAAAAATGAAACGAAACTCAGTATATTGTCTCACAGACCAGAAATATATCTACAGAAAGCTTGAAATGTCTACTTTAAAACGAAACAATTCAAACCGAAAACACTCTCCGATTACGCAATTACGTAAAAGGTGCATTTCGCTCTGAAGGCGCATCACTGTACTGCGTAGATGCAGCCGACATGACTCAGAAAACAATAGTTTATTAATAAACAATCAAAATATCTTCTAGCTATTTTTTTCAGACACATTCATAGTCTCAGTACATATTTAAGTAATTAAATTAAATTAAAATAAAAGTGTGATTAGTCGAGTAATGGCTTAAATGAACCGACCAGAAGAATCTTCAATCGGGGGCAGCCCTACTAAACACTATCTATATGCAATAGTGTGTAATCTACATCTGAATTCATTGATTTTCAGTCTCTGAGCGTGAATGCTACAGTTCTGCAGTCACTGAAGGATATGCTTCCTGGCCCTGCAAGTGAGCGGCTCCTGCAAACTTCTCATTGATCAGCTTGATCTGGTCCTTCACAGAGCCTGGACCTGAAAGAGACCATCACAGCACTGAAATATAGGACTGGACTTGAGCATTCAAATGCAGGTCTGACAGCATTTCTTTGAATAGCTTTGTGATAAAGAAGTGTGCCTAATGTGCACTTAAGTGTACTTGAAGAGAGTAAACTTTGATGATTATTTTTCTTAGTGCACGTTTGTGTAATTAAGTGTATAATACCAAATACATTTTTGTTTTGTTTTAGAAGTACATAATTTTAATAATCTTTTGTCATGTTTTAAGCTTGTACACACAATTTTACCTGTGGTGTTATTTGACATTACATTTAAAGTTAACATATTCTGAATGCAATACACTGTAACATCACCATTACAAATGTGTTATTACAAATATATTTAAATATACAACATACCAGCATTCAATAGAAATGACATTAAAGTATGTTTTAATTTCCCATAATAGCTTAAGTACATGTGGCAGTATACTTTAACCATACTTTAAAGACAGGACAAGAGAAATAATTATAAAATTGACTTAAGTGGGTTAAGAAAGGCGCTCCTAAGCTCAGCTAATTGCATTTAATATAAATCTCATTTTCATTTCATTGCAATTAACATGCAATTATATTATGCATTGAATTTAAATTAAAATGTAAAAATAAAATTATTTTCCCCCGTACTGTGCCAAGAGTATGAGGAATAGAAAAGATTGTGCACATTTACCTTTATCAATGTCCACGGCCTGAAGAGACAGAAATATTGTATATACATTAGAAATATAATTATTAGAGATATGCACAAACAGTCAGAGGCAATGAGAATGATTTTCACGTAAAGACAGACACAGCACTGATCATCTGACCTCGTCATCATCAGCTCGGGGTTTCTCAAAGTAACTGTGTCGTCTTTTCTCCTCGTCACGATCTCGCTCTCTCTCTCTCTCCCTCTCTGGTGTTATATTACCCTGATATTAAATTACCCAAAACTAGTTAACACTTCTGCATGAGTGTGACTGCCTCTCTTCTGAACAATGTAACCAATCTCTTCATTTTTTTTCCTCGTTTGGAAGGTCACTGAAATACTATCTTGGATTGTTTGCTATTGGAGCAAACAGGAACTAAAATTATACAGGTAAATGTAAGACTTTTTAAAGACCTTTTTAAAACCAAGTAAAGAAAATTTAAGAAACATTAACACGTCAATGTTTGAAAATACAACAGATCTCCATTACTTATTAATTTGTTTCACAAAAAAATAGCTTAAGCTTTGAATAGCTCTGCTCCAAACCACTAGAATATGGAAATAACTTTTACTGTAACGTCTGATCACACTGCAAAAAAAGTGATGCTTTTCTGTAGTGCTTCTGTCTTGTTTTCAGTGCAAATATCTAAAGATTTAACTATGCGAAGTGATATGGAACTGTAATGCGGTCAAGAGAGCTGCCTGGAACTACGTTCGCCGTGCGTTTCCCTGAAAATAATTGCACACCTCAGAACATTCGTCAGCCAATCAGATTCAAGCATTCAACGGCCCCGTAGTATAAATCAAATTATAGCACGAGTTGAGCGAGAGAATATGAAAATATAGAAAAATGTTTTTGTTTTTTTTACAAAAGAATCGGCATTTTCATTTAAATAAAAGATATTTGTTATGAGACAATAAAAACAGCTTCGTGCATCAAAACTTGATTTTCAAAAGTGCACAAATCTGCGACAGCTGAATCAATGTAACAGTTCTGAAAAGCCAAAATTACGTCATGATCATCGTTTACATTATTTTTTTTATGTTCAATCACCCCTTTTCAGATTTTGAGCCATATATGTGACCCTGGAGCACAAAAGCAGTCTTACGTTGCTGGGGTATATTTGTAGCAATAGCCAAAAAAACATTGTATGGGTCAAAATTATCCATTTTTCTTTAATGCCAAAAATCATTAGGATATTAAGTAAAGATCATGTTCCATGAAGACATTTTGTAAATTTCCTACCGTAAATATATCAAAACTTCATTTTTGATTAGTAACATGCATTGCTAAGAACTTCATTTGGACAACTTTACAGATGATTTTCTCAATATTTAGATTTTTTTGCACCCTCAGATTCCAGATTTTCAAATAGTTGTATTTCAGCCAAATATTGCTCAGCTTATTTATTCAGCTTCCAGATGATGTATAAATCTCAATTTCGAGAAATTTACCCTTATGACTGGTTTTGTGCTCCAGGGTCACATATTCACTGTCATGTGCATGCATCTATGAGAGAAGTAACAAGTAAGTCTGGGTCTCATTTTATCCTCAAAATACTATAGCTTAAAGGAATTATTCACCCACAAATGAAAAGGTAAATGTGAAAGGGTTTGTGCTGGTGTGTACCTCCATGGTGGGGCAGTCGGCTTTGCTGCGGATGAGAGTGGTTGGTATGTCTGTGTCTGCATACTCGTCTTCCAGGTCCACCACATACGCCATGCGGCCCGGCAGGAAAAGCTCGTTACGCTCCATCTGACGACCCTTGAACAGGATACGATAGATGTTGCGTCCTGAAGAGCACAACAACACAAAGAACAGAAGACCGTGAGCTTAAACGACACACAACATCAAAAACAAGTTGAAGAGTTCGACCTTTCAAACTAGTTGTCAATATGAAATAATTTGGTTTTTTGTTTTACTTGAATTTATTTACAAATCATGGGTTTGCGGTACCTACTGCATTTGTTTACATTTTCTGCACTGGGTAATAAATTGAATATTAGCTTTATCATCATGGTTATTCTGCTGACAATATAAAACGGGAATATTGTGCATATTGTGCCAATATTAAAAGTTTATCTTGTAAAGACAGTAATCTAGTGTTATCCCCATTTTTATCCCCCTGATAGGTGCTACTTTCAGATGCATTTTGTGCAACGTAAATAAGAGATCCATTGCACAGTACAAACAACTTTGTTGATTATAATGGGTGTTTCTGAAAGAGTGCACAACTCAGTGACTATAAAGAGTGTTCTTTGCTCGCTTTCCGTTTATGACCCATTCACAATTTAAATCAAACTTATTTTTACATGCAACTACTACACACTGTAAAGTTTCAGGAATGGCAACTGTATTGAAATGTGGGACTGAATCCAAAAACTGAATTTTTGACAGTGGATGGGATAAAATAATCTGATACTGTATGCCAGGATTGATTTGTGCAAACTCGTAGACCTGCAACTCGTTCTATGTGATGTGCAATGTGTTTCATTGCTTTTCATGCATGTCTTGACATTTGAAAATGCTCCTTTTGTGTTCATTTAGTAAAAAAAAAAAAAAGGTCAGTAAGCAATCACTGTCTAGATTATTTTTAATTGCCGATTTTTTAATTTTCAAAGAGCAAATGCAAAAATGTTGAGATATGCACTTTTTAGCTACATCACCCAGCCCGTTTATTGCATTCATTTCCTTTATGTGTCTTTAAACACACACACACACACACACACGCGCTGAGACGAACACTGAACTCACCCAGACGAGTCTTGAACTCAATCTTCTGCTCTGGATCTTCATCTTTCCTGTCAAACACAAACATGTTGAAAGATACTCGGAAATGGATTAAAAATGAACACACATATGCTTTTCTGAAACATACTTGACTTCCTTCTGCACTTTCTCAATCGTGTCCTCTTCTTCTCGCTCCTTATTAGTGATTTCAGCTCTGACCTGAATTCGAAACACTAGAGTAAACAAAAGCCAGTGTGTGGCAGCTGTATGATTACCGTACAGTGGCTATGCTGTTGTACCTTCTGCAGCAGGGCGAAATCCAAACCCTTCACCAAGTGAGTGTGCTCCATATCACCACCCAAGAACTTAGACTCCTGGATCAGCTGACGCCTTTTCTCTGCTGCCGATTTGTCCCTGTTCAGCAAAAGAAAAACAACAAAATGCATGTTTTAATCCACACGATAAAACCTATAACTAGTTTGCAATAAAAAAAGGACAAAAGAAAGGACCCAAAATAATAAAACTAAAATATACAATCGTATACTGCCATTTACAAAATATAGCTAAAGAACTCAATGTACAGTGGTGGCCAAAATGATTAGAACACTAGTATTTTCAGCAGCTAAACATGGTTTTAAGTCAGTTATTTCTATGTTTTGCTGTAGTGTGTCAGTAGGAAATATCAGTTTACATTTCCAAACATTCATTGTGACATTAATTGTAATAATGCAGTGAGATGTTTGTGCTGCACACAGAGATCTGATCTGATCATCATCAGTCTGTCTGGAGTCACATGAAGAAACAGAACAAACTGAGACAGACTCAATCCAGAAGAACTGACGCTTCAAGAAGCCTCCTGCAAAGCTCCAGTACTGTTAAAAGTTTAGGCACTTGTGCAAAAATGCTGTAAAATGAGGATGCTGTCATAAACCTGATATTTCCTACTGACACACTACAGCAAAACATAGAAATAACTGACTTAAAACCATTTTTAGCTGCTGAAAATAGTGTTCTAATCGTTTTGGCCACCACTGTAATTCTGCATGACATACAGTAATAAATAACTGATATTAAATGAAAGACACAAATGGCAGAGGACACTCACGCCTCCGCAGTGGGTCCCACGGCTCGATAGTTGGCCGTGGTGCTGATGAGCTCCGTCTCCTCGTAGTCTTTATTAACACCGTCACGTCTTTCTCGAGCACGGTCACGGTATTTCTCCGCCAGCTCGCGCTCTCGCTCCATCTCCTGCTGCCGCAGTTTAGCGTAGTAACTTCAGACAGAAGCGGAAACGTTAACAGAGAACAACAATCAAAACCTGCTCTTGCGTGCATCACATCACATCTATGACAAATAAAAATCATTCTAAAATAACTAACAAATTTTGTGTTTGGTTTTACCACATTTGTAAAAAAGCTCAAGGCACTAAGACAAATTTCACACATTTTGGTATAGAAAAAAAATACCAATGATGGGGGATTGCAATAATGCATGGGGAAAAACTCACTATTTAAAAATTCTCAAGTTCACATGCCAATTCTGCCCTGGTTTTTTTATTTATTAATTTTAATAAATTAACTTTCCACTTGCTAACACAAGCGGGAATCTGAGGCGAATACAGCATAAATAGAAATATTCTGTGTATTCTGCAAGGAAAAGTTTAAAAAGTTAAATGACGCATTTATCAAACCAAAATCAGAAGAGAGACAATAGCAGCAGCAGTAGTAACGTAGGATGATTTATTCATCACTGTTCCTCGACTCACCTTTTTTTCTTCCGCCTGCGAGCCGCAGGATCCTCATCCTCATTATATTCCCGTGGCATCCTGGGAAATTCATCACAAGAAGTCAAACGGACTTGTCAAGACTGTTATCATGGAAACATGCAGTGTAGGGCTGCAGAGACTAGTTGGGAAGTCGAGCATTTGAGCGTGAATTAACCATAGCAAGCATATAGAGGACACGGATTCCTGTTCAAGTTGGCAAAACTGTTACATTGTATTAATATGCTTGCACATATTTTTTTACGGTTACAATGTTGCATGTCAATCTGTAACATGTTACATGTTAAATACAAAGTGATAATTCTTATTTTAATGCTTTTACATGACATTCTAGAGACGTAACTATTGCAAACATTGGCCTAAGTATCAATTAATAAATGTGACCGGTGCTGGCAAAATGAGTCACAATGAGCAAATTTTCAAAGAGGAGTTATTTTTATTTCCCGTTTGAAGTCGACAAGCCATCAAAGTCAGTTCTGAGAAAACTCGAGTTGAAGGTTTCACCAGCAACGCTGCATTGTTTCCTCCACTTCCTTTCTCAATATTAATTACTACATTAATAATCACAATATAGACATTTTTTTATTTTATCTGGGTTATTAAAAATAAGAACAGATGCAAAAAAAACAACAACAACAGTAGAACAAATATGAAAGAAACAAATAGGCCGAGTGTGTTACTTTTTTCATTTTACATCTAAACAAAAGCGTTCAAGTAAGAAAAACAAATAATCAAATGTAAAAATCACTTCAGTGTGTTCATCACAAATAAATTGATTATAAAAACTACAAAAGCAGTTCAATCAAGAGCAGCGATCTTTTCTGTACAGTAAGTCCTACTGTACCGCACGCATCTAATATCATGTTATTTTTTTTGGACAGCCCTAATTCACACTCATTTTGCCAAAATAAATTGATTATTAAAACTACAAAAGCAGTTCAATCAAGAGCAGCGATCTTTTCTGTACAGTAAGTCCTACTGTACCGCACGCATCTAATATCATGTTACACATCAGAAGTTTTTCACCAACAGTTCCCCAACGTTCACTTAAGATATAACAGACTACGTTTGCGTGAATAGCCTACTTAAATACTGTAATTCTGTGTATGGGTCAAAGACGTTAAGATATTTTTTTTTTTTTTGGGGGGGGAAACAACCATTTAAAGCAGTATTACACTTATTGTTTTTATGCTTAAACCCTTTTTCGTCTTTGACCCGTATACAGTACGTGTATATTTATCGGGATCTGGCGGAAGCGTCTTTATGTGCACGATTCATTTGTCAGTCAGCAGCAGCGCAAGAAGCGAGCAGAGAAAAAGGTATTTTGGGTATATTGGGATCGCTGATGAACTCATTTTTGTGAAAACCTGAAATTCAACCAAAATCGACATTTTTCATTTGATTTGTATGTAGCTCAAATTTAGACCGTGCGCATTCACACTCATTTTGCCTGCACGGGTCACAAATACTATTTGATATGTACGATTTGTTTTCATGTCTTAAATGGTAACATGAAGCACAAGTACTCGAGTAACTTAGGTTTTGTTTTGACAAATAAGCGACGAGCAGAAATGAGCAGCCATGCAACCCCTAGTGACTCAAAGAAAGATCTCAGACAAAGTCAAAGTACTCATGGTGGCGTGTTTTGGAGGGTGGAGCGGAGGACGGCGCAGATCTCGGGGTCATCAGAAGCTTCCTGAAGTCATCATTGGTCAGCTTGGATCTGAGGATCACAAACAGATGCTCAGTGAGGCACAAGAACAGATGAGCGAAGCACGAAAATAGTCAAACCTACAGCTAACATTTTAATGGACTGCAACAAAAATTACTCCCTCACTTTATCAGAGGTCACACATTAATAAAGCTATAGATTTAACACTAGATAGAAAGATCATTCACATCACTGTATTTATCAAATAACAGGGAAGTCTTTAAGACCTTTTTAATACTAAATAAAAAACTTTTTGAGAATAAATTGAAGGGAACACAATATGTATATATAAAAAAGCCTTGAATAGCTCCGCTCCAAACCACTGGAAAACAGAACTAACTTTTACTCTACATTACTCTAATCACAATGCAAAAAAGTGATGTTCTTGCTCAGTATTTTGTCTTGTTTTCCAGTCCAAATGTCTAAAGACTTTTAAATCAAGATACATTTACTTGAAGCAAAATGACAGAAGTCTGATCTGAAACTGATCAAGTTTATGATTAAAACAAGAACAAATATCTGCACACAGGCTCAGAGAGAGAGAAAAAAATTAATTCGAAGGGAAAACAAGTTTTCATTCCCTACGGACAGAAATGAGTTCGTGCTTTAAGCATAAACTCACTTTATTTAGTTCACATTTTCAAGACATTTCACATTTGCATCTCAATCCTGATTTAAGGATGTTTAGATGTTTGTATTGAAAAACAAAAATACAAAAGATGTTCATTGCTTTGCAATGAATGCAACATTTAATTCCACGACTTCATGAATTTTCTGCTCTGATTTAAAACTATTTTAAAGGCTTTACGATGCACAAGGGTGTCTTTTTTATGACCAGAACCCATGTTCCCCACCAACCACAGTTGATCTATCATCATCAGCACATTATACGGAGATGAAGTGATGGTGAAGAGCACTTACTGAAGCGCTGAGCGGTGATCCTCCACCTCATGGCCATCCGGAGCCAGAGGATTGGAGTAAACATCAGCTGAAAGAGACACACACACATGAAAACACACTACAGTGAGCATTAGATGTGGTCAAATAATCGTTCATCGCCCCAAAGATACACGTGAACTCCTCCAAATGATGTCCAAAACCATGGCAGAAACTCTGGACTTTATTTTGCTGCTCTCATCTGATATTTCATCTCATTCTCATGCTTTCCGAAGACTTTATCCATTTGCACTCGAGTGCCATTACTGCTGCTCCACTTTGCACTATTGTAAATAGTCCTATTTTATGTCTGCTTCAAATTAAATCTACAAAAGTGATTTTATATACATAGAAAGCATGTGAAATGCAAGTTAAGTGTCTACCTGAACGTAACTTTAGTGAAAATAAAATGGCAAAATATGGATGAAATAATGTTCTATCGTCAATCAGCATAACAGATATAGTGCAGGGCAACGATTAATCGCGATTAATCGCATTCAAAATAAAAGTTTTTGTGTACATGTAAATACATACTGCATGTGTGTGTCTTATATATATACATACATACATATACACAGTACACACATATATTATATACACAAAAACCTTTATTTTGAATGAGATTAATCACGATTAATTGTTGCCCAGAACTAATATTTACATAAAAATTGTGACTATTATGATCATACTAAACATGGCCAGATTTAAATATTTATATTTAAAATGAATCGTGTGGTTTGAAGGACAGTGGCATAAATTGGTAAAGATTTAAAAGTACAATTAATTAGTTTTGGCGGGCTTCACTGTGATCCTTAAATAACGTCTTTTAATGTCATCTAATGATTCTGGTTTTAAATATGCCTGACAAGATTTCTGACAACTATTGTTACGATGAATTATATTATAGTGCGTGTCTTCTGTAAAATGTGTGACAGTCGTTACTGATAATATTAAATTAACTTACACAAGACACATTCTAAAGCGGTTTTAATAAATTCTACACACTATCTCTTTGAAGTCTGCACACAATCACTGCGTCGCGTCGTTTGCGCACAGCGTGTGCTTATAGAATATAACGGGGCATATTCTCAAACATCACTTTATCCACACACAGCATAAACGTTTAATAAAAGATATGTAACACTTACATTCGCGTTCTGGCATGATGAGTCGGGCTCTGTCTAAAACACGACTCGACGAACTCTAATGTTGACAGCACGTCTGCTGACGTCACACTTCCGCTTATCGTCAGTTGTCCGCACGCGACAGCGCCGCCTGTTGAACTGGATGAGAGCCTTGTTTCGCCTTCATAATTCAAGCTGTGTTTTTGAAAGCAATATATAATTATTATTATTTTTTTTTTTTTAAATATATATATATATATATATATATTATCCAAGGCGACTTACAAGTTAGGACAATGGAAGCAATCAAAATGAACAAAAGAGCAATAATACGCAAGCGCTATAACAGTCTCAGTTAGCTTAACGCAGTACACGCAGCAAGTGTTTTTTTTTATTATATAATAAATAAAAAGAAAACAGATAAAGAATAGAGCAAGCTAGTGTTAGAGGACTTTTTTATGGTATAATAAATAAAAAGAAAACAGATAGAATGCAAAAAGATTAGAAAAGCTAGTGTTAGTTTTTTTATTTTTTATTTTATTTTACTATAACAGTCTCAGTTAGCTTAACGCAGTACACGCAGCAAGTGTTTTTTTTTATTATATAATAAATAAAAATAAAATAGATAGAATAGAAAAAGAATAGAGCGAGCTTTTTTTTCTTTTCTTTTTTTAAGAAAAGCAGTTAGTAAATGAATAGAGTGCAAGTCTAAAATGGGCACGTTTTTTTTTTTTTTTTAAAGAATAGAATTAGAATAGAGTGCTAGAGTTATATGGAGGACCAAACCTGCAGAAATTAAAAAATAAATAAATACACAAATAAATAAATAAATGTGTATAAAATTTTAATTTCTGCAGGTTTGGTCCTCCATAGAGTTAGAGCGTCAAATACAGATGGAAGAGATGTGTTTTTAGCCGATTCTTGAAGATGCTCTCAATATATGTACAGTATATTATAATATAGTAGGATAAACTGCTATAAAAATCAGAGACTATTAAAAATGTTATTTGGCTCCAGATATTGTTTTAAATTTGCTCCAACAGCAAAAGAACAAAATCCTTTATTGCATTTTTCAAAAGGTGGGGAAAAATAGTTTTCTGTAATTTAATTCCATGGTATTAGAATACAAAAGTATATAATTGTAATAAAAAAATAATAATAAATCACCATTTTGTTACTCTTTTGGCATTAACACATTATAAACATCCATCTGTTTCTGGTAATGCTTTTAATCATTAATACATTTGGCTCAGAACGCATTTTGAAATCCACACTGGACTTTGCTATATTTATCATATTTTAATAAAAATGCAATCCCAAATGTCTCGTCCAATGCATTTAAAAACTAGTGTAGGAAATGGCAAATGTGCATTCTTTAACTGAATTTTCAAACTGAATATTGCTACACAGAACTTTTGGTTATGATGTAATTGCAGTTTGAAACATGCTTTACATCCCTTTATAGAGTCCTTGCATAGATCATACACTTGGCCTCCATTTTTTCCCTCGAGTCCAAGACATCTTGTGGCCATAATATTGAAACTGTTTATTATGACCACATGGAAATCATTTTCTGTGGTAACTGGCATGATACCAAATAAGTTTAACTCAGATATGTGTGTGACGATGTCATAAGTTGTCTTTAATCTTTGGTTATATGCCCTGTGTTTATGTTTGTTTTGATTTACATTTATTGGTATGAATGTGTGTTTTCTATTGTTTGTTTAAATACAATTTTGGGCTTATTTTTCTTGTCTACGGTGCACATTAGGTTAAGAAGAAAGAGACACCAAGAGGTTTTTTCTTGTAATTTCTTTATTTATTTAAGGTTTATCAATTTCATTTCCTTAGTATAGACATAGTTGACGCAGGGGGGGGTCATTGTTTGTTGTGTTTCTTTGGAATATACGCATCAAAGTATTGTATATTATATTGTTTATTTTTTGTATTTATTTTGGTTAAATTGATGTCAATTTATTTTGAATTCTATGCTCATTGATGAGTTTATTTAGGTGTTTGTGTATGTATATAATTTAGTTTTCCCTGAGTTCCCATGAGATGGCTCGACCCCTGGGTGTAAAAAAGGCTCACTCTGCCTCTCAGGAGTTAGTTCTGGTTGGGGCCTCCATGAGGAGGGTCAACTTTAATGTGTTTTGTAAGTCAATAAACTCCTTTTATGACTGCAAGCGTCTCCCCGCCTTTATTGTGGCCGTGTCCCCACAATATGTTTATTTATTTATTTTCATGTATGCCCCTGCATTGTATTGCATTTGTGTGATTATGTATATCCGAGTAGATATATATTACAGTGCATTACTGCCAGTGCAGAAGGTCTTAAGCTACTGATGGGATATTTACAGCAGTTCACATCAGTGTTGTTGATGGGTAGATGTCTTCATGTAAACACAATTTGGAATGAGAAGATTTACTGTATTGTTGAACACTTTAGTAGTGACTTAGTTATTCCATTATGAACAAAACCTGGCTTTACAAATAACCTAGTACCACCAAGTGTGTCCGTTTCACCCTTGAATGAATCAGTTGAATGAATGACTCCCTCATGAAAACAGTCATTTGTCACCACCTACTGGTATAACAGTCCACTAAAATCCTCCCTCTAAAACACTGAAAATGATTATTCTACTGGGGTATGTTTGTGTTTCGTGCGTGTGGTGTAGCGACAGAGAGCACAGAGTCGTTAGACAGAAAGCACAGCTTTATTGACTGCACTGGTCGACCACAGCCGAGCGCTGGCGATGATGGGACGGGAGCTGTTATTAAGGCATCACAAACAGCATGCACATACAGTCACATGAACATCATATTGCTCTAAAGACTGCTTAACATGGAAAATGTACAAAAAGAAAAAAAATAGTTTTTTGCACTGATGAAAAATACTTGTCTTGACAAAGCCAAAACAAAAACATTGTGAGCCCTTCATTACTGAATGAATCCAAGTTTTTGAACGAATCGTTTGAGGGAATGATTCAACGACTCTCCCTCATTAAGACAAGTGACTTGCTGCCACCTACTGGTGGTTTTAGTTTTATACTTAAAGTATTGTTTAATTTTTAATATTTATTCATCCCAAATGTTATTTTTAAAACATTAAAAATGTCCTAACCAGACATGATGCTACAATACGATAAAAGCTATATTTTCCATGTAAATCTGGGTTTTTGTCCTAATCAGACGTGCCAGTGACAAGCGACAGCAGATTCTATTTTCGAAACGTTTTCTATTTTCTGCGATGTCGGGGCTGGAAAAACGACATTCAAACTATGACAGTGAGAATCTCAGGTACTGACTATGTGCTTTATTCAACGTTAAAAGTGTGAGTTTGCATATCATTTTGCGTGACCTTTATAGCCATACTGAAAGCAACAATATAGTTTACCTCGGATATTGAAAATAGACCTTTATAGCCATACTGAAAGCAACAATATAGTTTACCTCGGATATTGAAAATAAATTACAGCAAACATTTATGTTTAAACTGTGACCTCAATGCATACCAACAAGCGTATTTCATAACAATAGTGTCAGTCACTTAGTATACTTTTAATAAGGTTTAATATTTATGAATTAGATAAACATTCATTTCGCTGGGAAGGCAGTGAGCTGCAGAGAGGCTCCGCCCACACATGCTTCTGATTGGCTTTGAAATTTGATTGATTTTGTTGCGTCGCATAGCCGTGTCTCGTCTGGTGTGGACTGACAAATTGCTTGTCACTGGAATCCTGTCGCATTGTGTTTGGTTAGGACACAGTGCATTTGTAATTGCAGTGTAACTGCATTCATGCCACCTCCGAGCTGCATTGAACAGTGTGTATAAATACATATAAATGCCACTTTAGATGGACAATTTATAGAAAAGATAATCTCTGTCACTGCTGCCAACAAAGAGAATATGAACGCCTTTGTGAGCCATGACGGGCTTAAACCAGCCAACGTATCAGCACAAAAACGCACTACAAATCATCTAATTATCACTAGAAACAAAAATCTCAGAAAATATCGAGTCATTTTTTCGGTCAATATCGCACACCCCTTGAACGTCTCAATGATTTCCAGCTATTCACCCTTCCAGGGAAAGCCAACAGTAGAGACAAAATAACAACCAAATGCAAAGACTAGTTACCCTTTGTCGTTCAAACAGACGGTTCACTAACAGCATACGAGTGTCGAGATCTACTCGTCATGGGAGGAAAATGATTGCACAGAAGCTGAACATTTACAGATATTACGTAGAGTATATGTTATAGTTTTGGTACACGAACGGCAACGAAGCATGATAAAGAAGCGTGAACTCTTGCAGGAGGCTGAAACTAAGTCACTAAAGGCACAGTATTCCATGTTTGCGTTGGGTGCATACTGAACCAGAGAACGGCAAATGACCAGCGCTATGATTATTCCCTATTAAAGCAGCTAAGATACATGAAATCTGTACAGGTTGCTGTCTGTGGTCTGTACGGATACAGCAGACGGCCGTCGCGGTTTAAGCCAGTGAAGAAGTGAAGCAATTCAGCCGTCGTTCATCCACCACGGCATCGTTCCAAACACGAACGACTCTTCTGTGCAACACAAAATGACAGTGCTGTATATTCTAGTCTTCTGATGATCCAAAGCATCCTTTGGTTACGATGCTATTCGCATACTAGCCGAGATGTATGGTGACCGGGGAAGGTTTTCGGTAAATAGATGCTTCAATTTGAACGAAGCATCATAAGACACCAGAAGACTTGGAATGTAATGCATGGACTACTTTTTTTGTCCGTTTTGGACCCTTTCACTGTATGGAAAAGAACAAGACTGAATACAGAACTGGGGTTGGGTGAACTAACCCTTCGATCACTGACACGCATCACGTACGCTACATATCAGATGCTTGTGTCTCATAAATGAAACATTTCTGGACCGAGCATCACTGGAGCTCACGTATGCGATCGTGGATGAGGACGATACTCGATTGATGATGCAGTCCAGGAGTGTAAGGGTGGATATCAGTGCAGGCTGAGATCTTTAGAAGATCCAGACACAAAGTTTACATCCACTTCAGAGCATATGCTGACTTACTTTTCTTTGGCATCATCATACAAGATAAAAGAAAAGAAACTAAGTGCTTCATCATTACACTGTGAGACGATTGTCTCAAAACGTGATGTTTTGGCAAAGAAACACTTGTTGTTTGTGAATGTACAGGTTTAAGCTTCTCAGATGATTACAATCACTTCTTCTCTATAACCCTGAGATAAACACCATGGGCTGATTCATTAGACGTCACAATCAGAGGGAAAACATTAGCAAAGCCTGAGGACACTTTGTAAGTGCGAATCCAATTTGACTGACGGAAGTTGGTTCATGAACAGCACTTTGCTAAAGCAGGATTGATGATTTTAGCATTGTTGGGTCAATGCTGTTTTCTAGGCACCTAGAGTCTCTACAACCTCAACATTTACATATAAGCTTTTGGACCAAGCAGGTATTGCTACAGAAGGCACGCTTTAATGAAGAACATCAATGGTTCTTTCTGAAAATATAACTGAAACAAGTGGAAAAGAAAATGCCAGATATCAGAGTGAATCTCACAAAAAAATCCTCCCTAAAATTCTAGATATTATAATTAGTTGTAACTGGAATATCCCAAGTGGTCCAATGGAGTTAATTGACCATTTTTAATTTTCTTTTAATTTTTTTAGCGATTATCTCCATCTATTGGTATTACAAAACCACCATTTTTATTTTACTTCGTTTAACCACAGTGGTCATCTTTTGTCATGGCGCACAACAAATTTTGGGTCATACGGACGTTTATGGAAACCTCAGTATCCTGGCTCAGAAAAATCACTGGCTCAAGATAGTCCTGAAGCTCCTTGAATCAAGAGCTTATCTCAAATTAATGCACATTTCAAGATACATGAACATTAAAGTTCCTTAGACTTAAAATTTAAGTCCAAATGTAAATATAGCTGCAAGCAGCAATTAAGGGGCCAAGCACAACAGAGGCAGAATGATGAGCAATCATTGCAAGGAGGATCAGACCAAACGCAACAGTGAGTGATTAAAGACATTTTAAAGTGATTTTACTCAAACTGGCTGAAAAATCATAAATTCAATCATTAGTAATATGATTTAATGGTTCATTACTTTTCACCAATATGTAGCACTGTTATCAAATTGATGTGGTGTGGTCAGTGTGAGGTGACAATGACACACACAAAGTTTGGTGTCAGAATGTCAAAGCTTTGCAGAGATACAGCTTTAGATGCAGTTTGGCAACATGCCATCAAAATTGATGCGTTAAATGAAAACCATTTCAGCTACAGACATGAAATCCATAATTTTTTGCCGGCATGGTCTGAAGATGATCTGAGCCAAATTTGGTGAAAATCGGAACAACGGTCTAGGTGAAGATCGAAAAAGTACGTTTTCAACATAAATAAAAATGGCGATTAATGCCGATTATGGCATAATTGCTATCAATGTTTTCGGCATGATCCAAGGAATCATGACAATACGCAAAATTAATAAAAAGTAATTCGTATAATTAAAAAAAAAATAGATATTTTTTTTAAATCTGCTTGATCCAAGGAATCATGACGGCATGATCCAAGGAATCAAGACAATAGGCAAAATTAATCAAAAGTTATTCACGTTTTTTGATTTATATATATATATATATATATATATATATATAATTTTTGACCACAAGGTGGCACTGCTCCAAAACTTTTTTAACACCTTCAGGACATGGTGCCGAAGACACATACCAAATTTCATAACGATATGCCAATGCATTCTTAAAATAAAGCCTTTTTTTTTTTTCAAAATTCAAAATGGCAAGACGCCCAAAATTGCCGACATGCGAAAATTGGGTACCATTTTACTCAGCATGCTGCTATGACTGTAAAGAGACCAGTCTTGAGATTTTTCTGAGCCAAGATACTTAGGTTTCCATAAATGACCCAAAATTTGTTGTGCACCATGACACAAAGACGACCACCGTGGTTATCGGTGTACAAAGTACAAACTGTACAAAAAGTACATAAGTACAAAACTGGTGTTTTACAATGCCAATAGACAGAGGTAATCACTCAAAAATGAGAAAAATTAAAAACGGTCAAGCAACCAACTTTACAACTTCGGACCACTCGAGATGGATTGACCAAACGTCAAAAACGTGCTTGTCGCATGGTACATACGTGTGCTACATTCCCCAACGGCTATTTGTGCTTATTTGCGTCATATTTTCTCTGTACATCATTTTAAAGTAGCCGCATCCTCTGGAGACACACGACAGATGTATTCATATAAAACGAACACAACCTGAACAGACGTCATAATGCCCACGTCATCGTCCCTGTTCCAGGACAGAGCCTACTGCTTCCCAAGAGGACACCTCCGACAGTGTTCATTTAGACTTTTTCGTTTCTTGCTGTTTGTCAAGCACAAATGGTTACGGTTGCATAAATGTAGGCGACGGACTAATATACACTACCAGTCAAAAGATTTTTGTTTTTAAAAGAAGTCTCTTCTGCTCACCAGGCCTGTATTTATTTGATCCAAAATACAGCAAAAGCAGTAATATTGTGGATATTTTTACTACTGCTTTCTATATGAATACGTTTTAAACTAATTTATTTCTGTGATGCGCAGCTGAATTTTCAGCATCATTACTCCAGTCTTCAGTGTCACATGATCTTCAGAAATCATTCTAATATGCTGATTTGCTGCTCAAGAAAAATGTATAAATATTATTATTATTATCAATATTTAAAACAGTTGAGTAAATTTTTTTCAGGATTCTTTGATGAACAGAAAGATCCAAAGATCAGCATTTATCTGAAATAAAAAAGCTTTTGTAACATTACACACTATGCCATTCAAAAGCTTGGAGTCAGTATAATTTTTTTATTATTATTTTGGGGAAAGAAATTATATAAATTAAGATTTTTATTTAGCAAGGATGCTTTAAATTGATCAAAAGTGATGATAAAGACATGCATAATGTTACAAAAGATTTCAATTTCAGGTAAATGCTATTCTTCTGAACTTTCTATTCATCAAAGAAACCTGAACAAATTCTACTCGGCTGTTTTCAACATAATAATAATAAATATTTTTTTGAGCTGCAAATCAGAATATTAGAATGATTTCTGAAGGATCATGTGACTGGAGTAATGATGCTAAAAATTCAGCTTTGAAATCACAGGAATAAATTACATTTTAAAACATATTCAAATAGAAAACGGTTATTTTAAATAGTAAAAATATTTACTGTTTTTCCTGTACTTTGGATCAAATAAATGCAACCTCGGTGAGCAGAAGAGACTTCTTTAAAAAACATTAAAATCTTACTGTTCAAAAACTTTTGACTGGTAGTGTACTCTGACACAAACACTATTACATCGCTAGGTCTAGAAACATCACAGGGCATCCGAAAATGGTTTTAGGAGGCAAGCACGCTTCGCCGCACTACCTCCTCCTTCCCAGCATGCAGTTGGGGCAAGCGCAGCTTCCGGCTGAACGAGCGCAATTCAATGTCACTCTGCTCGGCGTCAGAGAAATATCCGTCTGTTTCAGTGTCGAGTGTGGAGGTGTTGTTCCCAGTGCTCTTGGGAAGGGAGGTCTCCGTCGAGTCGCTCTTAGAGCGTGACTTGCCCTGTCTAGGTCGACGCAGACGCAAGGCCATTTGCGAGCGCTTGCCGCTCTCCACAACGAATCCGCAAGAGCCCCACTCTTCGGA